TTCTTTTAACATATCTGTTGTTTCCAGGTTTTTGGCTCAGGTTTGATCCTAAAAATGTCCCACAATTCATCCCTGCTTTAAAAGTGAAAGGTTGTAGATTGTAGGGTTGTTTATCTCTATCCAGTAATAATGGTGGATGGCTGATTGAAGACATGTACTGTATATTGTTCCCTTACTTGAACAAAATACAGATTTGTCTGGGTTAAAATATTCTTACAAATAAACACAAACAGTTATTTTGTGGAAATTTAAAACATCACTGAAGCAGTTAAATTTGGGAAATGATCTTAATTGCAAAATGTGGTGAAATTGTTAATTATATTCAAGGGAGTCATGGTGTAATAATCATCATTCCAGAAACATTAACAAGCCCTGCACTGGAAAAACAATCTAGAAATATTTGAAAATTACTTAAATTAAGTGTATTTATCCTTAATTTGAGTAGGTAGGTTGAGATAGTTAGGTAATTAGATAATATAGACTTGAAATAAGACAATGTAATTATTTTTTCTTATATTAAATTGTCTTGTTCCATTAGCAAAGTGTCTCACTTAACTCTGTAATTCAAGAAAAATGCACTTATTTTAAGAAAAAAATGACTTATTGAGATTTACATTTTTTTGCAGGGCTAGTACTTATATATGTAGAGAAAGTAATTTGGTGACAGAGATGATTTGGGTTTCTGAACTTCCCCCCCTGGTTTTTGAACCTCCTTATTTCCATGTACCATCCCGGATGGTTGTGGATGATGCTTCCTCTCTTCCTCTCCAGATTTCCACTCAGACTAATGCAACAGCCTGGAAGTGGCAGGAAGCAGAGGAGAACATCCTCTCCACTGAAGGGGCCATCACCCTCTCCAAGCAGCTGGTTCGGTTCATTCCGAGGACATCCCGCTTAACGACTTCCTGGTGATGAGAAATGCTTCATCAGCACCTTCACATTGATGGAGAGCCTGACAGGGAGCAGGATGACCTTGAAGGAGAGCCTCGACTCTCCTAATGAGCCAATCAGAAAGCATCTGCTCAGCTTTGCCGGCAGCAAGGCTGAAAGGCTGCAAGTCTCTGCACTGGAAAAAACAGAAATAAGTAAAAATTACTTAAACTATGTGTATTTACCCTTAATTTGAGTAGGTAAGTGAGATCATTTGCCAATGGAATGAGTAGTTTTACTCTCAAAATAAGATAATTAGATAATATGCACTTGAAATAAGACAATGCAATTGTGTTTTCTTATTCTAAAATAAGTAAATTGTCTTATTCTATCGCCAAAATGTCTCTTTTAATTCCACAATCCAAGAACAAATGCACTTATTTAAAAAAAAATAAAACTTAAGATATAGATTTTTTTCAGTGTGAGCAACAAATGTACCTTCAAAATAATCTAAAAAATATGACGTATGCTAGAGTTAATGCATAGTTCTGAGGGAGCTTTTATCTGAAGTGCAGATTTTCCCAGAGGGGATGGTCCAGTAGGGAGCAGAGCCATTTCTGCTCCGATTTGTACATTTTCTCACATTTTGTCCTAGAATGAAAACTAAAGATCTGCAGACAGGATGGATAGTAAGTAAGTCAATATATAGCAATTTTCACAGATACAAATCACAAAGTGCTTCACACTAAAAATGCAATACAATAAAACAATGTAGAATGCAATGTATTGCAATGTGTTTAAAAACAAATGGAAACAAACTGCAAAAAATTGAAATTCAAGTAAGTTTATTTTTCGTAGAATAAGATGTTTTTTCTTGAATTAAGCAGTTAAGTGATACACTTTGCCAGTGGATTAAGGCAATTTACATTTAAAATTAGAAAACACTGCAGTCTCTTATTTCAGGTGCATAATATCTCATTTTATACTTATTTTAAGAGTGAAACTGCTCATTCCATTGGCAGATTATCTCATGTACCTGCTCAAATTAAGGGTAAATACACTTAAGAGATTTTTACTAATAGTTTTTGCAGTGTACAAACAAAGCCATAAAAGCCCCACGTCTAATTAAAAACCTGCTTAAATAGCAGCGTTTTCAGTTGCTTTTTAAAAGAATCAACAGAATTCATAGACATTCTCCAAAATTTTTCTGTCACAACTGCTACAGAATTTCAGATCATCAATGGATGTTTTGAAGTTGAGATTTTACGCACACAAATGAAACCTTTTATTAAAAATTCAAACTTTCTGTTGCTCACTCGCCTCCAAAACAAAGGGGATTAGATTAATCAGGCAGTCACTGTGGAGAACAGAACATTCGGTAGAACTTGATACAGAGGTCAGAATGGGAATTTAAATCCATGTTTCTCTTTCTCATTGTTCTGTGATTATAATGTATGAGAGAAACTTTTTTTTTTTTTTTTATTGTTGAACAGCTCATTTGATGTGGAGACAGATGCAGAACTACCAGAAGTGTCCAGTTTCCTTCTGATGTGTGTACAGATTAATGTTGCCACCGGTGCAGAGCTTACTAAGAGCTAATAACGCACTGGAAAAAATATATTTTGCCAATGGAACAAGACAATTTACATTTAAAATAAGACAAAATAATTGCATTTTCTTATTTCAAGTGCATGTCATCTAATTATTTAAGTTTAAGAGTAAAAATACTCGTTCCATTTGCAAATCGTCTTATTTACCAGCTAAACTTAAGGATAAATACTCTTAATTTAATTCTTTTTTACTTATTTTTAGATCATTTTTGCAGTGTGTATAGACATTTGTTTAATTTCATAGGACAGTGTGTGATTTTGAAGCAGACTAAAAAGAAAATAAGTTCATTTGTTTTTATATTTCTAAAAGTCAGAACGGAGAAAATGTAATTTTTTTTATTCAGGCCACTTTAACTATAATAACTTGCCCAATTATGAAACACAGCCAACCTTTGTATAATTGCACTGAATATTATTTAAAGACCAGTTAACTCTGAAATTAGACAAATGATAAAAGGCATGTTTTAAAGCCCAAAAACAATCTATCAATGATGGAATGAAACTATTACAATAGAAATGGTTGATGAGAACAAGCATTACCCCGGTTAAGTTAAATCAGTGGTCTCCTAATGTCCCAGACATGTGCATTAAATGTTTGGAAGGAAAGCATACTCTATATCACTGCGTATGGGATTGCCTAAATATGAAAACATATTGGAAGGAAATAGTTCTGACTTTATCTGAGATCATTAGAGTGAAGATATCTCACCTGGCAGAAATATGTATACTTGGTATATATCCAAAGAACTTTATTGTTACTCCTTATGAGTCAACTTTAAGTAATTATGGACTCCTGCAGGATGATTGCTTTGTCCTGGAGAAAAATGGATGTGCCCTTGATACATATGTGGATAAAGGAGGTGGCATCTTGCATCATGTTGGAAAGGCTGACTTATATAACCAGGCGAAGGGCTGCAGAGTTTCAGACTGTATGGAATTCCCTTAATAAAGTCTCCTAAATGTCAAAGTGCTCAAACAGCTCAAAACTGCTGCATTGATGTGCTGTTGAGTGTTTGTGTTTTAACTTTTATTTAATTTGTTAAATGTGTGAAGTATGTGAATGTTTTTTGGACATTGTGACTGATTATTTTATGGATGCTATTGTTTTGATTACTGTCTCTTTGTACAAGTAAAATATATATATATATATAACTCAATAAAGATATTATTGAAAATGAAAACTGAATGCAAATCAGAATTCTACACTGGAAAAAAAATCAAAATTTAGATAAATGTTTTTTCCAGTGTATATGTGGCAAAAAAGTAAGATTTCGTGTAATGTTAAAAAAACAAACCATGTGGTTCTGTACTGCTGCCTGGATACTGAAGCTGATCAATGTGAATGGAGCTAAATCCTTGAAAACCCTGGAAGGACACCTGTTCTTCCTTAACTTTTACAGCCGGGTTCAGATTAGCTGTCCAGTTAAGGCAGTGAGGAAACTTCTCCATGATGAGGGACGTCACATCAGCAAGTTGGCTGATGAAATCTGTGAGGGATGGACTTAAATAATCTTTTTGGCTGATCTGATAAATGATCTCCACCCTGTTCTCACTAAGCTGCAACATTAGGCCCCTAAGCTGGTGAAGATTCTCAGTCATCCAGGTCATCTTCATTCCAAAAAAAGAAAATTGAAAACAATCCACTGGACTTTGTTTCCAAGTTTTGAAGATGTTTCGCTTCCCACCCAAGAACCTCAAACTCAACGCTATTTCTGACAATTTGAATTAAAAAAGCTTCTTGAATGGGAGGCGAAACTTCTTCAAAACTTAGAAACAATCCAGTGCATTGTTTTTAATTTTATTATTTTGGATTGGGCCTCAAAGTATTTCATACTGTCCAGCTGTTTAACCTCCATCCTGTAATCACTCCCAATATGAGGATATTCACAGGAACCTGAACCACTATTTTCTAAATACCACTAATTTCATTATAATCCATTTGTTTTTAGATTATGCATCAATTCTTAGGTTCTACAGATTGTGCTAATTCAGTAGTGTAAAAGCATAATTTTAACATTATTTTGTGCATTTTTAACAAAAATTAAAGTATCTGTAAAAATCTGTAGAGGATAAAGAATAAACTTCAGTTCAGTTGATTCAATTTTATGGTGGCATGTTTTTAGCTTTATTTTGATAGTTTCCCAGTATCACTTCTTCCGGTAGAGTTGTAATATATTTTTCTACCAACGCTCCATGGAAAATTAATTATACCCACAGAGCTTCCAGTCTGCTTAGAGTTTTGTTTCTCTGAACCAAGTGATCTTATTAATTGTCATACACCTTCCCAATAATCCGTTATTTCTGATGGTCTGCTGCTGACTGCCACAGCTGGTTTTATTTTGAAAACCGGAAGTGCTTGTTCGTCACGTCTAACTTCATCCTGTTGGCGGTAGGAACTGTGCTGTTTGTAGCCTGTTATGGAAGAGGGGGGAGCTCCGGTGGGGGGCTGTCTGACTGAGGAGGACTGTGGCTGGGATCCGCTCTGAGCCGTGATTTGGAAAGATAAGGCTACACCGGTGGAACCGTCTCCCTCCACCCCAAACAATAACAGCACCGAGGCAGCGCGGGAGTCCAGCATGCGGCCAGCGGACGGAGAGCTCCGGGCTGCAGCGGCTCACACGGCGGCTCCGCTCCGCCGTTGAGCTTCGCTCTCGCGGCAGCAGTCGATCCTTTTACGGGCTGTGACAGGCTGGGCGCGCGGCAGACACGGCGAGCATTGTTTCGCTTTTTTTTTCTTTTCTTTTTTCACCGTTTTACCGCCTGACAGCCCCCCTCCTTCCTGACCAACAGGGTCTCAGATTCTCATGGACTCCCTGCGTTAGTTTTCTCCTTTTCAGCTCTTTCTCTGTGTGAGCAGCGCTGCAGTCATGTTTGCAGTGCGGATAGTCACCGCAGACTACTATCTGTCCAGCCCCATTAAAGGCCTGGACGTGTGTTACTCTGAATTCAGGGACAGCGAAGTGAAGAAGGTGCCGGTGGTGCGGATATTTGGAGCCACTCCAGCAGGTCAGTCATCTTTTTTTTCTTCCTCCCCTCTGTAACAGAATCGCGCGTGCTTTCTGGAACGCGCACGCGCGCTGACCTAGCTTGTTGCTGCTGTTCGGAGCTTTGTCTCTAAAGGAAACCCAGCTGCTCGCTCAACCACTGAAAGCTGGAGTTTGGGTGTTGACACGTTGTGTCTGCGCGACGTGAGCCGCCAGCAGCAGCGGCAGAGGGAGACCTTCTTCTCCTCCTCCCCTCCGCGCTGCTTTGTTTTCTCCCCCTGCTCCATCACGGTCTGCTGCTGCTGCTGGTGGACATGTTTCTGCTGGTAGAAAGCAGCTCACATGTGCTGCTCTTTTTTAATTTATTTATTTTTTCAAATCTTTGTATAGGTTCTTTTTCAATTTTAAAACGACAAAACATCCATAAACAGCTGGTAGAAATCGACTCACATTTGATATATTATTTATTTATTCCTTTTAAGGTTTTTATTGGTTCTTTTTAAATTAGCAAAATACAAAAAACTCATAAGCAGGAAAAAAAGCAACAATAACAAAAGACACATCACAATTTCAACAGTATTTGCATTGATATTTTGCTTGTCATGCCCAAAATTAATAAAGAAAATAAAGATATAATTAAATTCTAGATATAATCTTTCCCTAGATTAACAACACTGTTTAGTTATATAATCTCAGGTTCTTCTTTTCTCTTTAAAATCTTGATATTTCTTGCTTTCCAACGTGCATCTTTTACACTGTTCACCATTATCCAGCAGTAGATTTCATTCCTTTCCCATGATCCCTTAAATAATCCATATGCAGTATTTTCATATGTTAAATGAAAAGGTCTCCAGCTGCTTTCCAGGGTCTATGGTGTCTTTCATTTCCAGCAACCTGTGGAGTGTTTATTCAGCCTGAACACGATGCTGGTTGAAACGACAAGCAGAACCAGGACACAAAGAGAGGAGGAGGTCTGCATCCAGATGCAGACGGCACAGCTGTTTAGAATAGAATAGAATAGAATAGAAAATCCCTTTATTGCCCCACAATGGGGAAATTACATTAATCAGCTCAGAAATATGTTTTTACATTCCATACTTTATTAATGACCATTTCCAGAAAGGTGCAGAATGCAGTATGTCATTCAGTTCCTTATGTTTACTCAGTATTCTGAACCTTTATCTCTTTAATCGGTGGCGGTTCTAGACCAAATGTACCACCATGGGGGCACATGAAACAAAAAAACAGGACAAGGGATTCAAATAAATTAAGACAGCTGAATGAAGGGAAATTTCCATTCAATTAGGTTGATTAATATGATCTCTTCCAACTGAAAATATTTATTTTTGGCTTGAAAATGTTCATTTGGATCATTGTTAAAATCAAAATCCTGTAGCTATATAAATATTTAAAAAAATCTAATAAAGCATTTTATTTGGGATATTTGGTCAATATACATTAATAATTTAGGAATTTAAGATATTTCTAACTTAATTTGAGTTAAAATTACAGTTTTGTTTAAAATAAAATCCGAATGAGAACTTAAAATTAAAAACAGATAAATTCAGCTGTAAAAATTAGAGTATGTGTTTGGAAAAAAAATAAACATTTAGCAGATTAAAACTGGGATCCTATGTCCATACTATCACTCACACTATCACCGTATTGCTTTTAAATCATTAATAAACTTTATTTTAAATAATTAGAATAAAAACTTTAAAGAAAAAAAGTGAAATAGATCCGAAGGACTAGTATTATGTTTTCAGTACAGCGGCACCGGCCCCCGTTGGCCCCCGTTTAGAATCGCCCATGTCTTTAATGGCGTTTATTCCCTTCTAAATTGAACTTTATTGATCTCACAATGGAGAAACTAACTGTTTGGAATTAAGTGGGCTGCCACTGTCCAGTGCCCATGGAGCAATGAGGGGTTAAGTTTGCTCAGAGGGCCAGAGTGGCAGTCTCTGGGAGTGGGTTTCGAACTCACAACCTCAGGATTCCAAGCCCTGTGCCCCAACCTTTCTTCCTTTCCCTCCTGATGAAAACACTGTAATCAATTATCTGGAAATGATGTTTTTGGGGATGTAATGGTTATAATGATCTACATCTAGGATGTGTTTCTGTTAAGTGGGGGATGATGTCTAAACGAATCTGTTGTGTTTAAATATTTCCTGCATCTAAAACAACAAAGAAGAATGAGTTTAGAAGCCAGATGTTCTGGCTCCAGTATTATCTGAGTGACGCCTCCTTTAAATCAGTTTTGCCGGGGTTCCTCTCAGGTTTAGCGTGGACTCAGCTGACCTTCACCGACCCGGCTCTCCACATTCATCCTTCCATTCCCTTTATGTTCCTTTCAGGACTGTATTCCCAGAAATAAAATCCCATCACCATCTGGAACATATTGGAACAGAACAGGGTTTCTCTCTCTGTCTCTCTCTCCTTTTATTTTTCTTCTCCAAATTTTGTTCTCGATTAGAAAGCAGACCACACCCATTCAGATCGAGTCACTTCTTTTGTCTTTACATTGAGTTTAGTGGTGGGTTATGGGGGATCTGATCTGTGACAGCTAATCCCTGCTTTTAGCCACCATGTGGCTCTGGCTCATGTTCCTCTGTCCTTCCCTGACCTGAGCCCTGAACACTCCCACCCATCAGTCCTGTAATCTGAAGCCCCACTTCCTGCTCCGCTCCTTCTAAGTGTTTTGTAGCGGTGCTGTTGTTGTGGCAGACTGTTACCCTCAGGCCTTTCCTAGAGAGAGCAGATGAGGAAAACATTGTGATGTGGAATCCTGATCAGTTATGCCTGAAAACTTCCCAAAGGTCTACCACAGCAAACCTCGCAGCAAAGAGCTGCTGCTAAGATGTCTGCAACCTTTTGAGGATAGCGAGCGTCAGTTTTCACACTTGAGCGGGCTGCAGCTCTTCAGCCTCTAGATGTTTATTAAGTGTGTATAAACAGAGGCAGTCCAGATGAATGGGGGCAGGTTTGTAATCCGCTACGTGAAGGAATTCCTCCTGGATTTGTTCACAGGAATAATATCCTCATTAGACAGAAGTTATTTTTTCCAAATTGATTAGTTTGAATTTTCTGATCTCCATTTCTTTCTAAGTGTCTGACCTGCCAGTAACTCCCAGCCAGTTAAGATTTCTCTTTTAAGCTGGGCGTAAACTCTACGATTATTTATTTATTTTTGCCCCTTTCGAGCCGATTCTCCAGTTGTGCGATAATTTTTCGATCAGGCCGATTTTCAGCCTGATGGTGCGTCCTGTAGTGAACAGGGCGTAACGAGGGGCGATCTGCCTCTAACGACCACCTCCCGATCAGGAATCTTAAAGGAATAGTACACCCAAAACACGATTAGCCTTCATTTTCTACTCACCCCCATGCTGAACAACACTCTGGAGTACTTTTTTGATATCTCAAATGCATCTGGAGATCTGGGAGGCTTCTTGCTGTCTGCTGACATTCAAATAATGGAGGTCTATGGTGACCGAGACAGAAAGGTCCATAAGTCCACAAAAAACATGTCAATATTCCTCCATACTGCTCGTCCAATGTATTCCAAGTGTCCTGAGTGGGTAGCATCCAGAATTTACTCGAAACAAAGTCATTTAGAATGTTTTTAGAGCATAAACGCTACGGAACACGACCCTACGGAAACCGCAGCAGACCAAACCAGATGAAAGTGCGCATTCAGCGTCTGCTCTGCCGATAATGCAAGCGTAGAAGAAGAAATGTGCTGTTTACCTGTGCAAAGAAAGAAACAACGAAAGAAAAATGTCTGAGGACTTCAGTGTTGAGGAAGAGCATGAGTTCTTTGCCGAGCTGAATGCGCACTTTCATCTGGTTTGGTCTGCCGGCTTCCGTAGCGTCGTGAACTCGCAGGCGCGCGCTTTCAGGAAATCCTATACACTACTGTTTAGGCTCTAAAAACATTCTAAATGACTTCGTTTCGAGTAAATTCTGGATGCTACCCACTCAGGACACTTGGAATACATTGGACGAGCAGTATGGAGGAATATTGACACGTTTTTTGTGGACTTTTATGGACCTTTCTGCCTCGGGCGCCATAGACCTCCATTACTTGAATGTCAGCAGACAGCAAGAAGCCTCCCAGATCTCCAGATGCATTTGAGATATCAAAAAAGTACTCCAGAGTGTTGTTCAGCATGGGGGTGAGTAGAAAATGAAGGCTAATCGTGTTTTGGGTGTACTATTCCTTTAATGCTAAGTCAGTTTTTTTTTTTTGTGACATTTTTTTGCGTTTCCGTTCACATTTCCAAATATATGCCACTTGTATGTGATCTCCTGTGTGAACCATGTCAGCATGATGTGTAAATGGTCGCAAGGAACCAAACTCAGCACGGTTAACTGATCCAAACTCGGCACGATCGGTTTTCAGAGGGTAGTGTAAAATAGTTGAACACAGATATTCCTACATTCCTCATGCGATACCTGGATTGGATATCAGCTCCGATGTTGACTGATTAGCTGTAATGGATATCTGTGCTATGTGTTTGTACATCAGAGATCCAATCCAGTGCACTTTACATGGAACTGTTATTTATTTCTATTAACGATATAGTACCTTTACATCTTTGACAGTTTGTTACCTTTTTTAAAAAAATGTTATGTCATTGGCTAAAGCCTTCACTCACATGTCGAGATATATGGTTCATGGATTCATTCAACAATTGGATCGGTATCGGATATCACCCGATATGTTCAGCCGAGGTTGGAAAACTGGATCGGAAAATTGGATCGGTTTATCTCTGACAAATGGTTTTATTTCCCAGACTGATGATGTTTCCTTCCTGCTTTACAAAAATCAAGAGAAATGTATTTCTTCTCCACAAACTCACATGGAATCCATGCAGAGAGGTTCATGACTGCGTACATGACGTACCAAAGTACCTCTCGTCAGAAAGGACTATTTATATTGAACTGTTTTAAATGTGACTCCAAGATTCATACATAGGAGAGAGCAGGCAGCAAAACAAGGACACATGGTATGGAGTGAACTTT